CCAGTTGCCCTAAAGGGAAAACCCCCCCAAAAAAAAAAAAAAAGATGAGTTTTGTATCCAGGAAAAAAGATCAAAGGATGGAGAAAGAAGAGCTGGAAATACTGTTCTTGTAGAGGTAGCAAATGGAAAGCGAATGGGTTTACTATGGTGGTTCTATTAGTGTCTCCTGTCCGAGGATCGAGGATCGGAGGTGGAGAAGCACTGGCTGGAGGCAGCAGCAGGATGGAGGTGGAGCTTCCCCCTCCTGTAACGTACAGGGGGCGGTGGAGCTGAGAAGCCTGGCTCCTGAGAGTGTGAGGGTGACGGGGGAATGCAGTCACATTGAGGAAGTGTGCCGGAGGGTCCTGGAAATGGTGCAGGGTGGGGGTGATAATGAGGAATCCGTTTTGGAACTCTGACTATGCCCAGAGTTCACAGGGGTCAAAGGACAAGGGACTCAACTCAGGCACTGTTACAGAACACCCACCCCGTGTAGGGGGACATACTTTGCTTTTCTAACTGTTGGAACTGTGGCGTTTGCACGGCTGAAGCATTGGCTTCCTGAGTCCGGAGGCCGGCAGTGTGGTGGGACCAGCTCCCGGGGAAGAGAGGCTCACTCTGCTTGCCCTCCCTGCCATTAATGTGCTACCAGGTCACCAGCAGTTTGTCATCTTGCTTGTGTCCCCTGTGGTGAGGTCCCCAGGGAGACATGGGGATCCTGGAGACAGTGGTGCTGCCCAGCTGTGTGTGTTCAGAGGTCGCTGGGCTGCTCTGCTTGGGGTCAGCAAAGCAGGGAGACGACGCTGGTGAACACGGAGTGCCGGCATGAGAGCGTTTGCCAAGATCACAATGTTCCCCATTGCTGCGAGCAGATGCGATCTTGGAACCTGGAATCACAGTTTCAGCTCCAGCAGGGTCTCTGGCAGCAGCCCCAGTGTCTTCAGCTACAGACACCACCTCTGTGAGTGCCAAGAAAAGCAAACACAGGCCCCAGCTCTCCCGCTGCACCGACTGGAAAGAAGCCCACAGCAGAGGAGCTGAGCTGTGAGGACAGTCTTCCCGTAGCTCTTAATTTTCCGCCATCCTTTCCCCATTGGAATCAAACAAACAAACAACGCGCTGGTAGTAACATTTGCAGGTGTGACCGGTTTATATTCTGGGATGCTCTTTTGATTAAATTCCCTGTAGGGTACTGGACTGCAATGGGGAATAAAGCTGGGTAATGCAGTAAGACCCAGATGGAATAGGAGGGGAGGGAACCCGGACAAAGCAGAGGTTTCGTTCCACTCCTGGGAGCTGGTTCTTCTTAGTGGCTGGGATGGTGTCACTCACATACCCTCCAGACAGTCCTTGGGAAATATAGTTCAAGCGACTGTTAGGGGTGGGGGTGGGAGTGGGGGGCAGAGATGGTTCTGTAAAGTTTAAAAAGTAAGGCAAAAAAGCATCACCTTAAAAATCCTGGCTGTCAGGCCAGCATTTGGCATGGTGCTAGACTCCCACACGGCTTACCACAGTTCAAGTCCTGGACCCAGTGGCTTGAAAATCATACGAGGCAGGTGTGCATGCATGCCCGAAATCCGAATAAGAGGATGGGGCGGAAGGGATTGCAGTGTGGCCATTCCCCATGGGAATTCTCTCTCTCTCTCTCTCTCTCTCTCTCTCTCGTGAGTGCATGTGCCCTTGACAAAAATCTAAAAAAAAAAAAAAAAAACCAAAAAACCAAAAACCAAAAACCAAAAAAACCCTGACTTTCCGAGGTTGGTGACAAGACCAGAAATCCGTTTGGGAGAAATGCATTTTCTCAGCTTTAAGAGCAGAAAAGTAGAATTTAAAATATCAAAAGTGATTCATAGCTACAAGGAGAGGAACACGCCTATCGTTTACCGAGGAAAAATGTGAGCCACCGGTGGCACGCGGGTAAGTGGGGAATGCGAGAGCCAGAGTCTGACTTTTTAGCAAACAATCTGGCGTCGTTTGACTTGAATTATTCTCCAGACTTCAGTTTTCTGATTAATCTAAGTTTAGTCTTATTTCCAGTCAGTTGCCGATTGTCTAGATTAAAATCAATCAACAAATATCATTGACAATGAATGCGTTAGGCACTGAGTTTCCTCGGATCAGCTCTGAAATCAGTCTTCCTCTATGAGCCCTGGATATTCATCCTGCCTCCACACTCTCCCCTCTTCTGATTCAGCCTTTATGCCCCATTATATTGTCTGATCCAAAGTATCGTATAATTAGGGACATTTTCAAAGATGCAGAAATGTAGTGAGTGTGTCTCAAGAGGCCATACTTGTATCTCAGCTTTCACAATGATCAACATTTTGTCTTTTTCGTTTTTATCTCTATTTCAAAGTAAATCCAAACATTATTTGCATCCTTGACCCTAATTTTGACTTTCTTACCTCTGTTCGAAAACCATGTTTTTCAGGACCAATAGATGGCATAATGGTTACATCGCTGGACTCCCAGGTAGTTGACCATGGTTGGAGTCCCAAACCTGGTGGCTTGAAACTCATGCTGGGTGTGTGTGTGTGCCCAAAATCCCCAAGAGGAGAGTGGAGATAGGATTGTTGCGTGGCTGTCCACTCCCTCCCTGTCCGGGGGTGGGGGGGATGTGGGGGTGGGTAATTTCTCGCTTTCTGTCTCTGTCTCTCTGGTGAATGCATGCGCTCTATAGCAAAAA